GGCTGCAATTCGTTAATAATGAAAGATAGTTGGGGACAGAACACGTTTCCACTTCTAATTTCTTTACCTACAGGATGATTATTGTCGGAATACACTTTGAGGATGTATTTTTTCGTTAACCATGACCTTCTGATGTGTAATGGCATCTCTCCGGCTGAGGCCTGAAGCGCGTTTACTGGAGAAGTTTTAAAAGCACCCAAACATAACCTTATGGCACAATTTTGTGTTGTATTCAACTTATTAATGAGGGGGGATTTAGTTTGATTGTATACGACACAACAATAATCGAAGTTAGATCTTACTAATGTTTTGTAAAGAGTGAGCATGTTTTGTGGGTGAGAACCCCACGATACTCCAGCTAAAGATTTTAGTATGTTTAAGTTTTGCAGCTACTGTGTGTGAATATTTTTTATATGCGTTTTGAAATTTAATTTAGTGTCTAATGTTACGCCTAAAAACTTTAAGTGTTCTTCGCTTTTAACTGTGTATTTTTCATTTGAAATCTCAAAATCTTTGAAGTTAATTGTTCTTTTTCTAGTAAAAGGAGTAATGCTACATTTGTTAGGATTAATTTTTAGGTCTATTATTGAAAATGCTTGTGTTAGGTTGTCCAATGCTGAGCTGATTATGTCTTTCCCTTCTTCTGCAGATTTCGCTACAGTATAAATTAAAAAGTCATCTGCAAACTGAATGATTTTACACTTGTCAATTGTATTGTTGGTGATATGTTCCGTGTAAAGATTGAAGAGGGTTGGACTCAAAGTGTCTCCTTGAGGGAGACCACTGTAGGTTTCATAAGATACTCGACCTTCCCACTTGTCAATTGTATTGTTGGTGATATGTTCCGTGTAAAGATTGAAGAGGGTTGGACTCAAAGTGTCTCCTTGAGGGAGACCACTGTAGGTTTCATAAGATACTCGACCTTCCCAAGTGTCCAGAAAATATGTTCGATGAGTTAAGTAATTTATTATCCAGTGAGTTAGTTTCGTAGGGATGTGCAGATTTTTTAATTTAGATAGCAAGATTTGTATTTTTACATGGTCATATGCTTTATCAATATCAATGGTTAATGTCACAAGGATCTTTCTTTCTCTGAAAGCTTTGTAGATATCATTGATTAGAATCAAGATTGCATCAGTGGTTGACCTGTTTTTCCTAAAACCAAAACAGAGAGGACTCAAGATATTTGTTGATTCTATAAACCATTCTAATCTCGTTTTGACAATTTTGTTGAAAACTTTTGCTTAGCATGAGATGAGAGCAATAGGGCGGTATGAAGTGATCTGAAGTGCATCTTTACCAGGCTTTAATATTGGGAATATAAGTATATTTCGCCAGTCCGGAGGAACGAACCTTGGCATCCTCCCAAATTTGATTATAAGCAGAAAGCAATCTCTGTTTCATCGAAGCCGGTAAGAGTTTGATCATTTGGTAATTGATTTCGTCCACACCGGGGGCGGATCCAAATTTCCCTTTCAATGCCGCTTCCAGCTCTGTTAATTGGAAGGGTGAATCTAAATGGTGGACAATATGTACATTAGAACCGCGAAGCAATGGTTGTCTGGGCACAAAGATGTTCGACAATTGTTCGAGAAAGCCTATTGCATGTGTTCGGTTACTTAACACCATATTTTGCATGTAAATTCGCTTACCACGTAAGGTTTTAATTTTGTAAGTTAACTTATTAAACACTAAATGATTTATAAACTGATGTTTTTCAATTTAACAATGTAATTCTATATTATATTACCTAACTAAATTATGAATATGATTCATAATTTACACCTCCGTTCGTTAAAGACTTTTTTTCTACAGGAAAAGAGTATGTGATTAATTTAGAGCTTTAGAAGAACACCTTCCTTTAACCACCTTTTTTTTTTTTTGTTCTTTAAGGCTTTAAGAACTATAAAAGCAAGTCCTATTTTGCCAGTAAAATATTTTAATTGTCACAGTAAGATGGAATTATATTTATTAATTATTTATAGATAGATGATCACTGAATGTAACTTATATAGAACTTAAACTAGAAAGACTAATAGTTAAAAACTAAGGTGACAGTAGTTTCATAACAATTAAATGAGAATAGGAGGTGACCTTTATTAAACACCTTTCTTAGAAAATGACTTTGAAATTGTGATCTGATGTTATAGTAAAAGCTTTATCTATGAAATAATGTTACCAATAAATTGCTTTATTTATTGCTAGGCACATCCCAAATACACTATCTCTTTTTTCATTTGAACAAGTGTCAATTTCTTAGAAAAATAAGGCTGCTTCAGAATTGTACCAAGACCTGAACAACTTGCACCAACTTCAATAACTATATCACTGTGATTGTCATAAATTGCTAAGGCTCGTGCTGAACATAGATATTTTTTTTTTCTCTTGAAAACAAGATTCACATTCATTCAACCATTTAAATTTTTTATTCTTTTTTTAATCGGTTATGTCATGGAGATAATCGCTCAGTGTAATGATATATGAATTTTCAGTAAAAGTTGATTTTACCTAAAAGTTTTTTCGTCTCGTGGGACGGTGAAATTCTCTGTCCTCCTTCAGTTTAATGTGAGTTATTATAACTCCAGTTATACTCACATCAAACTTGTCAGTAACTAAACACCTACCATATAACTAATAACTTCATGATGTCTTTCTTTTTATTCTTATCCAAATACTCTGATTTCATTTCGAAGGAATCCTTATCACTTTTGAATGTCTTCAATGCTGATTTTTCCTCTTTGGTTTCTTCAATGGACTATCAAAATCTTCAATGGACCTTGGTCAATATTCACATTGTTCATTTCAATTTTATTGTCTTTTGATGGTTGACCGTGATATAATATTAGAGGGAGTTGGTCGGGGAGTGCGGTCAATACAGGCTTTAGCAGTAACAGTGCGGGATGAAGAGCAACAGAAGGACATAACACTCGCTTACCACCAGGGCAAGACCAACCACCGCGGGGCGCAGGAGACGTTTCAAGCGTTACGTCGGAAATATTTTTGGTGGGGGATGAAGAAAACAATCGCAGAGCTCATAGGGTCCTGCAGGGTGTGCGCGAGCACAAAGTACGATAGGCACCCCCCCAAGAACGATGCAAGAGGAGACACCCACGGTCGATGCACCACTAAGCGACTTGCAAGTGGATACGTTCACGTGGAGAGGGTATAAGTGGGTCACGCTCATAGACCTCTTTAGCAAAGCGGCAATGGCGTACCTGGTACAGGAGCGATCAGCAGAGGCAGTCTTAGGAGCCCTCCAGACGTGGTTCCAATGCTACGGAGTACCCGATCGCATAACATCCGACGGGGGCAGAAAGTTCGACAATGCCAAAATCAGAGCGGAAATGAAGAACGTAGGTGTCAGGTGGCATCTTAATACTCCAGGGCACCCCAAGAGCAGGGGAAGTATAGAGAGACTGCACAGCACTGACCATCTAAGGGTGTATCAGGTGGAAAAAGGGTTGGAACCGGATGCGGCAATGCGGAAGGCGGTGGCAGCGTACAACCATTCCATACATACGGCAACAGGGTTCTCTCCAATCGAAATTCTCTTCGGATTACGTGGGCGGCAACGGGACTGGGGAGGTACAGCTGCAGATGAGCAAATGACAAAAAGAATGGTTAGTAATAAAATGGAACTGGGTAATCTCTGGGGGAAAGTTAAGGAAAAAATAGAGGGGGAAAAGCGCAAAAGAGTGGCGCGGGAAAATCTCGAAGTGAAGGAGGTAACAGGGGGGTTGAAAATCGGGTCCATAGTGTATTGCAAATTAGACTCGAATAGGGGAAAGGAAGTGCGGAGATATGAGGGTGCATTCAGGGTGATAATCATTAGAGAGCATAATGTGGTGACGATTGAGAGTGTTAACGAACCAAAAAAACGAAGGACGGTTCACATAGAACAATTAAAATTTCCGATTACAGAGTCACAGCAACCTTAGAACTGGAGTGCCCTCGTCTCCGGAAAGATTTTTTTTTTGTTTGTTTTGTATATAGTGTTCTTACATAACTTTGTGTATATTTCGAAAGGGAAGCACAAATGCAGTGAAATACGTCTTTAATTTGTGAGAAAAATGTAAAGAGGAAAGTGTGTTATTTTTTTTTTAATTTTGATATATAAGGAATATTTTTGTTTGTGTTTCATTAGATTAGGTTGTACGTACTGAACACTCCGTACCTGTGTTATAATGTGGGCTAGAGAACCTTGTCGTTTTACATATAAGAGTTTTATTTTTTGTTTTTATGTCTTTTTATTTTTTTTACTAAGTTTACGAAGAGTATCCGTAAACTTGTGGGGGAGAGTTAAGGTACGGATCGGGACAGTATTAGCATTAATACCAAAAGCATTTATGTAAACAACTCAGAATGTATATATAGAGGATTATAAGGACCAATAACGCAAGTTTTGATTCCGACTTCATGCGTTTTATTTGTTGAACCTTTACTTTTTTTTAAGTGTTTTAAGTCCGCTACGTTTAACTTATATATATAAATATCAAAACTTGCGTTATTGGTCCTTATAATCCTCTATATATACATTCTGAGTTGTTTACATAAATGCTTTTGGTATTAACACTAATACTGTCCCGCTCCGTACCTTAACTTATATATATATATATGATATGAGATGAGATGAGAAAGCAAGAAAAGAAAATAATAAAAATAAAAACTGGAATTATTTAAGAGAAAAATAATATAATTAATATATAGAAATATTGTTAGTTTAAATTGAAAAAAAAATATATATATTTTACCCTTTAGAGTAGAGATGAGAAAGCAAGAAAAGAAAATAATAAAAATAAAAACTGGAATTATTTAAGAGAAAAATAATATAATTAATATATAGAAATATTGTTAGTTTAAATTGAAAAAAAAAATCTGAAATGATAACACTGCACAGAGCTATAATATATGAGAAACATAAATTCTGCTAACTATAAATTTCAAAATATAATTTTAAGATGTAAAAACAAATCATAAACTTAGTTCAATTTCTGAATTACCTCCATGCTTTTTATTATCTGGTCCTTTCTTCTTTTCCAAATGACCATCTGAAGTAGCAGAAATAAGTAACGATATTTCAGGAGCACTAGTGATATCATTACTTAATGATGACTCGACGGGGTTATTTCCAATGTCCATACTTTCGTTATATGGAAAAGAGGTGGTCGCTACAACATACATAATTTTTAAAAACAAAAAAAATAATTTATTATTTAGATTGTAGCAATAATTAATTATGTCACTAAATCTCATATTTAGCTATTATATTTGAAGAAACTCAAATTACATAGTACTTGTAAATCAACACTACATTTATTATATTATAAATAATTTGATTAACTCTACTCAACAAATTACCTTTCTTTTTTTTATTATATCGCCTTTTCTTCTTTTCCACATGATTGTCTGATGCTATAGTGTTAAACAATGATGTTTCAGGAAAATCAGCATTTTCTCTGCTCAATGATGATGTCTCGTCATGATTATTTCTGATGTTTAAAATTTTAGAAGAAGTGCTAGATTCGGTAGCTGTAAAAATACAAAATATTTATAAATAAGAATTTATTTTTTAAATATTGGTTATAATTAATGATTTCCTAAGATGAGGTTCATTACAAATATCATATTATTACATTGAAAAAAAAAAAAAAAAACTAAAAGCATCAATATCCTTACCTCTCAATTTTCTCTTGGTCTGTTTTTCTTGTATACTTAGAGCTTCACATTCATTTATCTGAGGAGTTGCTGAAATTATAATTAGAATATCATTAGATTCTCGGAAATAATTCACTAGTTCAATGAGTTCAATAATGAGGATATAAAAAATTTAAAAATGTCGCTCGAGAAGTATGGTGAACTCAGTTTCGAGTTGAATGAGAGGTTCACAAAAATAGGACACCTAGAAGCCCAAGTGAAACGCCTAGAAGAACTCACCTCAGAAAATAATATACTGAAATCCAGAGTAGGCGAACTTGAGGTGCGTGTTTTAACAAAGCCGAGCAAGGTCTACTTTGTAGATCAATAGAAATTCTTGACATCTCGGTTCGCGCAGGAGAGACTCCATCGGCCTTGGTAACCAGAATGGGAGCCGGCCTCAGGATAAAGATCAATGCAGAAGACCTCGACTTTGTTGAGCGACGGAGGCCAAGAAAAGATGCTCCTCGACCACCACCCATGATCGCTCGTTTTGTGAGGCAATCTGTACAGGATGAGATGGTACAAAGAAGAAAAGTAAAAGGAACTTTTCTACCAGTGATATTGGTTGGGAAGAAAAGGACTCCCACCGGATATATCTCGGCAAAGAAATGTCTTCTATGAATAGACATCTATACTAGCTCGCCCGTCAGGAAAGAGCAGCAGGCAAATTAAAATACTTATGGTTTGCTGGCGGTAGAGTTCGTAGCAGAAAAGAAGATGGACACCCATTGATCTACATCGATCAGCCACAAAATCTTGACATTTTCTGCTGACGGTTTGACATTCGTCAACTTGATGGTCATAATTAGGAAATGTTAAGCATTGCCTACTATAAATCACTTTGCCGTATTATTTTGTTGTGTTATCATTATTTTTTCTCTAGCACAACTGACGTAATATTTTATTTTCTCATGTTTAGTTTTTTATCATTGCTGCTTAATATCATTATTATTTGTATTTAACATTATTTGCTTCTTTACGTCCATAATAGCCTAAAATCCCGAATCCTAGATATCTCACCCCCTTCCAATTATCCCCACATGGAATACCTTTTTGTTGAAATTTCCTTCAAAGCCTGATTGAATTGAGAGTTCAATCTTCTTATTGAAGTAAGAACGTAAATTATCAATAGTCTTATCTGGCCATCCTGAACGTAAATTAGCACTTCCTAACTGGGGTTCATCAATACAATAAAACTATGATCAGGGGTAGAGTGCCTTATTACATTTAAAGTATTAGCATTATGTACATCACATATAACCTCCATGCTTGCCCAAGCTACACTGAGTTGGCCTCTCCCCACCAAAACAGCGTTGCCATAATCCACTTTTCAAACACATATCATAATAGTGGATAGTCCACAACAAGTAATATTCGAAAATTACCTCTCAATTTTCTCTTTGTCTGTTTTCTTTGGATGTTGAAAGCTTCACATTCACTTATCTGAGAAGTTTCTAAAATTATAATTAGAATATCATAGAATTCTCAAAAATAATTCATTAGTCAAGTTTAGTAATTAAATTGAGATTAATTAAATTTAAATAAATAAAGTATTTTGATGGAACAGGATTGCTTTTTTATATTATATATTGTCTCCTCCTTCAACTATAATTTGAATAGAGATGAATCTGGGTATTTTTTAAAACTTCAAAGTCATAATAAAGTGATTGATTCATCAGAAAGAATGTAAAAATGTTTACAAAATAGATGGTGAGCAAGCCATCTGTACAAGATTTTAGAAATATATTTTTAAACTATGTTAGTATTATAATGTTTTCAGTTTTGGTTTTCACTAATAAAAAGTAATATTTTAATAATCCCAAATGGTTGCTATGTATATATAGTTACTGTCGAATTAGAAAAAAATATTATTTTTATTTTTTAACATGACCATTTGAAAGGAAAATACGGCATATTAAGCAATTTAACATTCAAAAGAACAAGCAGTAATCATTCTAAATAAATAATCAAAATTTTGTCAGGCAAATAGTGTAGGTGATACTCCCTTTTTACATGGATCCACTTCCTTAACTATGACTTTAACTATGATTTATCCTACAATAATCAGAATTGATTTTTCAGCTAGTAATTACATTTTCATAGTTAGGAAGCTGATCCTTCCAGGGTGGAGTTTCCTTCTACCTGCCAAAGTCGGAAGATCGATCTTATTTGAGCAGGTTAAGTTTTATAAGTTGGTAATTTTATTGCTAAACTAAAAACTAAAATATTCCGATGACAGGCGGTTTTTCAAGAATAATTCCACACTGACAAGAAAAATTCTAGCAGAATTTCAGATCTTCAAGAAATCCAAGTCCACCAGACACCTTGAAGACTGGTACTGATACTGGTATTGGTGGGGAGAACTAGTCCAGCAAATGGGCCACATGGTCCTTGTTTCTAATCCCTAACGACAACTTTGAGGTTGCCTCTGCGAACTTACCAGATTGGGAATGTCAAAATTCATTTCACTGAGGAAACTGCTGCCAGGGATGTCCTGTAACCTACTAAAACATCAACAACTGGTGAGCAGTGGCACAAGATCAGACTAGCTGATGAACACTTGTTGAGGAGGCTAAGGACATGGGACTCTAATGCCACAGACCATTTCGTGAAACTTGGTATTTGATTTCATGAAATATCTTACTAATTCGTTTACCTCAAAAATTGGCTATTTGATCTTTCTAGCTATTCGATTGGACTTAAGCCATGGCTCCCTCATGAATCTTGTCATCCTGAGCTACCTGCCCCATACTCATTAATTTTTATTTAAATAAATTGTTCAGTATAATAAGACCATTACAATTAAGGACAAAAATAATAGAACGTTTTTTAAAAAATGACATTTTTGGACTCAATGAACTACAAAACATCATCTGTTTTATTGGGGAAAAAATACTGGTTCAATGAATCAATTGAAATGTTGAAAACTTATTTATTGCCTAATTACCAAACTTTCCCAACCACAGCAATTGTAAAAATAAAATTGAGTAATGTAGAATTTACTTCTAAATTAAAAATGTCTAAGTTCTAACTTATTTTTACTAAAATTTATAAACTAATTAAATATAATTATAACAAATTAACCTTCAACATTGCTCATCTCTCGAGAGAACTGTGTTTCATAAGATTTCAAACTTTCTTCTTCCAAGTATGATATTGGAAAATTAATTTTACAAATTTCACCTGAAATCAATAAATTTATTTAAGTATGTGTAAATAATATTGGCTCGCTTAGTGGCCATTGCTGGGATTGGGGAAAAATGCAATAAGCAAAGGACAATGGAAATTTCAAAATGCAAGAGAGAGAAATACAAGAGAGAGAAATACAAGACATTGAAATCGTTTTTATAAAATATGTTATAGGGGCTATTTTTAAAAGGATCTAGTTTTTTGTCTATTGTGAGAAGTGGTTAGCCTTATTAGTATAGTGCTCTGACATTAAGATATTTTTAACGATTTATTAATCTGTTTATAAGATGAAGTGGTGTAAATTTAATATAATGTAATGTTTTGGTATACTGTTGATAAATAAATTGTTTTGGAATTAAATTACATTGTTATAAATAATCTTCTCAAGTGGTTTCTATTTGGTCACCACTTTTAGACGAATCTCACTTATTCTAATTTTTTCTTTTTTGGATTTTGTTTAATTAATTCCACCTCAGAAGGGGTTAAGATTTAAATGTTCCGGAGTTTTCTTCCACACTGAGGGAGTGGGTCCTCGGGCCTTATATTCCGAACTAGGCCAAGTACATCTAACAGATCCTTTGCGACTATGAGAACAACTGTCTATGGAAAGAATTGAAGAAGAGGGGAGAATGGGAGTAGGAAGGGAAGTTGCAGGAGATTCAGTGCTATCAGTATTGATCATAGAAAAACAATAACCTTTTGATTTTTAATGTGATTATTAAATTCGTCAGTCAGAATTCCGACACTTATTCCTAATTTCCTTATATTTTTAATAGCTTCTGCATAGTTTATATGACTTATGAAAGGCATATTTTCATTATATTAGAATATACATTTTGGCTTAGGGAGGTGGCGACCCCATCGCCCAGTCAAAGTACTGCAGATAGCCACTGACCCTCCAGATTGGAGGAACAATACACTGATAGGCACACAGTATACAGGTTACAGCACAATACACTCACTCCCACATTATAAACTACGGTCAATAACAGTACACATTTTAGGATCAACTCCCCTAGGTAGACTTGGGGGAAAAGTATGGGTTGATATCCCTCTCCCCTAAAACCACTCTTATCCCGAAACCTCAAAGACAAAACGCTGGATTGATAAATGGTAAAAGACACAGGAACTTTCATAAGGACATAATAATTGGACAATGAATGGAATATATTAACTCTTAATAGACCCGGTGGACTTCAAGCCCTCCTTAAGCAAATTGACAGTTCCAGGATTGACCTCACTGCTATCCAGGAAATTTGTTGAACTGCAACAGAAATTTCTGATGAGGAAAAGGAAGATTTCTACAATGTATTAGAGAGAGATCTCGACAGGTGCCGTCGAAGTGATGTAAAAATTATGCTAGGGGACTTGAATGGCAAGATTGACCAGGAAGAAATATATCGCCCTAAGAAGTTTGGGAAATGGAGCCTCCATGAAGAAAACAATGAGAATGGAAAAACGTTAATCATCTTTGCCTTCTGGAGGGATTTGGTTACTGGAAGTACCTTATTCTCTGGTAAAAGGATTCACAAAAACAATTGTCTGTAGATGGTAAAACATTCAACCAAATTGACCAAATGCTCATATCGTCCTGCCACAAATCCAACCTCATTAGCAGTAGAACCTTTTGTGGCTCTAACATGTATTCGGATCATTAATTGGTAATATCCAGAGTACGAGCTAGAATAGCCATGCTGTAAGGAGGAAGGCAAGTAAAAAAATCAACGCAAGCAAGTTGAAGGACCCTGAAACTTGCCAAAGATATGAAGAACAGTACAGCCATCTGATGAAGAACATAATGAAAGAAATGGGCAACGATCCTGAATTAGAAGATGGAGAATTCTGAAAAAAGCTGTAACGAAGGCTGCACAAGAAGAGTTGGGAATTGAGAAATTCTAGAGATGCATGGTTTGATTCAGAATGGCAGGCAGCGACAGATGCAAAAAACCAAGCTTATAAATCGATGGTCCACAGGAGATATACCCGACTAGTATCAGAAGATCATAAGAATTTGTGGCAATTGGAGAATAAACTTCATAGAAAAAAGAAGAAAACCTGGGAAAGAGCTGATTTCAAACCAACTTCTATTCCATGCAAGAGCAAGGATGGTTCACTGCTCATGAAGATAGAATAAACTCTCTAAAGATGCGTGGGTCACTTTGAAGCTCTACTAAATGATTCAACAGTAGAAGATGCAGAAGAAGTTTCAAAACACGAAAATCAAAACGAGAACACAGAGGAAGAGAATGAACCCCCTCCGGATTTCGAAGAAGTTATAGAAGTGATCCACAGAATGAAAAATAACAAAAGTCCGGGTTTGGATAGCTTTCCAATAGAGCTCTTTAAATACGGAGGTGAAAACTTGCATAAGGACTTTCATAATTTGATCGTCCAAATTTTGGCCACAAGCATGTTCCTGAAGGATCTATTTCTATTTCTGAATATTTTTCATTCCAAAGGCTGCCTTTGGAATGAAATAAGACTACCATATTCCCTATTCACAAGGAGGGTGATGTCCTAGAATACAAGAACTATAGGAGAATAAGTTTCCTCCCCTGTGCCTACAAGTGTGGTCGGTTGTCTTATTTAAGAGGCTGCTCCCTTATGTGCAATAAAAAACAAGAAAATAGAAGACTAAGGCAAAAAATTAAAACATAATTCCTGATCTAGGAATTCAACTCTGCTTGACACCCTGCCAAAGTCAAGAACAAAAAATCTGGTGCGGTGCACACATCACACAACTTTCACTTACCACCCTCTTCTTAGCAGAAAAAGGTATTTTCAGACAAAGGGGAAGTGAAAGTAAAAATTATAGACGCTATATTTATTTATATTTCATTGTGGGTATTTTTATTTGTATAAGTACCCTCATATATTCAAATTTTAATATTTATATTGCTGTAATCTATACAATTAAATATTAAATAATACCAACGACAGCATTTATGAAAACCGCACATGCATATGTACATAATATTGTAGGTTTCCGAATGATATTAAGCTCATATGACGTATGGAAGCCTGTGATAATCTTTCGGGTGAGCTCGGGTGCACTCTTATTCCTTTAGTTCTCCAATTACAATTATTCTCCATTACGATCTCTTATTTCTCCTTTAGTTAATTATCAAATTCTTTCATATTATATATTTAACTATCTTTTATATCAGAGATTAATGTGAAATGGTCAATTGTTCCAATTAAAAGACATTAAAGGTACTTAAGGGAAAGTTAATATTGAAAATTAGCCATTTGAGCCCTATTAGAGAACATCAATTAGAATAAAAACTACATTTTACTTAAAACTGCTTAATTTTACACTGATATGATGAATTTATCCAAAATCATTAAGAGCCGTTTTCAAGAAAATTGTATAAATGTGTTTAGTTAATTGTATAAAGTGCCATTTATGGTTAACTGATTTTGACGAAAAAGTTGCTGTAACATCCCTAGTATATAAAAACCTTAAATATGCAATTTCACTTTCGTAAAACTTTTCGTTTTTGAGCTATACTGTTAAAACACACACACACGCATGCACACAAACACAATAATAGTAAATAGTTTAAAGATAAAATAAAAGATGGAGATGGAGTCATGCTATGAAAATATATATATACATACTTACATATATTTTCAGACATTAAATTTTCTTTAATTTTATAATACTGATAGCTGTTCTTAAATAGTGTTTTGCAAGACAAAACCTTGTTCACAGTTGTTATTCAGACTTTTATGAGTTTTTGCAAACTGTGCCAACAGCTCTACTCTCTCTTACACAAGATTTAATCTTAAAAACAAAGTATGATTTTGTTGCTAAATAATATAACTAATCACCTGCTGTTTTCTTAAGAATTCCTTTGACTTTATCAGTTTGTTTTAAGGAAAATAAGTCCAAATCAGATTTGATCAAAACGGCAAAGTCACTGAATGACAATTTGTTTTTTTCACTCTTCAATACTGAACAATCCATCGGTAATTTCAAACCAAATCTTTTGATTAAATGCAAATGTTTGTTTACTTCAATGATGACTATCTTTTCATAATTCAAATCATCACTGTTAACATATATGATTCATTGTTAATAATAAAATAGTTATGTACAGATACACATACATGCAAGCATGGACACAAGCACAAATACAAGAAACGCACACACACAGAGTATCAAGATTCAACTAATGATCTTCAGTTTAACAAGGTTGCTGGGCACCATTTGTTTTGCATACGCGTTGATCTGCTCCACAACCTTCTATGACATATCTAGGTATAAGAATCGATGAAAAGCTTAGGTTCAAGAAGCATATCAAGTGAGTTGAGTATAAGGTGCACACATACTCTAATTCACTCGGGGACAGACTCAAGAGCACACGCACATGCAACACACATTTAACAGAGGATGTTTTAAGGATACTTTCAGCATATATGATGATACCTCCTAGAAGATTCCATAACATATTAGTAGTAGTTAAGGCAAAATACAAAAATATGTGATCCTAAAGGATGATCAGAGTATTGAACTGATCCACAACTGGCTGGTATCAGTGGAAAAAATGTGTGATCATCCTGACTGTGGGTTGGCAAGAAATAAGGTGAGGTTCAAACCTTCAATGACATTTTTTCTCCTCCCCTTCCTCACCTTTTTCGCTACAAAAGGGTTTTCCAGAGGAGGGAAAATTATGCCAAAGTTAAAAGTCCTGTGAGCACCAGGATTTGAACTTGTGATCTTCGGTTAATCAAGGTTACTGGGCAAGGTGTGCTTTGCACATGCTTTAATCGGCTCCAAAATCTTCTGTGACACATCTAGGGGTGAGAATCGATGAAAAGTTTAGGTTCAAAGAGCATATCCAGCGAGTTCAGCATAAGGCAACTAGAGTGACCACGACCGTGTGCCAATTTATCCCAAATATACGACCCAAACAGCTGCAAGTTATTGATATAAAGTGTGGTTACATCCATTCTGCTCTATACAGCCGAAATATGTAAAAGTGTCTTCAGTACTACTGTAGTAGACATCCCCCTGTATTTACTCCTTTAGATGACATTGTGTGAGGGAATGAGAAGGTGTATATATAATATATAGGAATGTGAGGTAGCACTGTGAATTGTACTCAATTGTGCAGTGGACAAATTGCTCATTGGAAAATCTGACATCGATAAAGAATCGAAAAGAAGAAAAGGTCCGATCAGGTAGCTGGCAACAAATGGCGAGGGACGCCAAACACTCAAGGCCTGGACACCAACACAAGAAGAGTCATCTGGGAAGAGAGGCTTACTACATTGAAGACCAAGATTATCAAGCCAACCATTCACTCATATATATTAATTTATTATCAGTTGTCAGAATAAATTGTTTTATTATACCGGAGTGAATAGTCCTTTTATTTAGTTGTCCTATAGGCCTCACGATTGAAGAATAAACCAGGTGAGTCAATTCAAAGTGTTTACTAAGTCCCACATTTCATATATATATTCTTATTGTTTCTTCTCACACAGTGCCATAAAAGGTAATAGATCCCCGAATTCCCAATCACAGTTAAACACCCTCAAAAAGTCGATATCCAGTGCCGGGGTTTTGTTTTAAAGATTCACGAGTGTAAATAACCTTAAACCCCGATACAAAAGCGGAAGGCTATGCGCCTATTCCCGCCAAAACGAATCATTTACATTTAACTTCCTGTAGGTTATTTACACTACGGCTTATAGAAGACTAATGGTACCCATCTAATGTCAGAATTTCTTACTAGTGATCAGGACATTTTTCCACAGTTTCATATGAAGAGGTATGAGAGGTGGCTACCAATAGAATTTAACACAGAAGACAATACAGCAGATTGAAAACCAAGAGACAAAAGCTTGGGAACATTGGTTTTTCTGTTTTTCTCTTCTTCCAGAAAGAAAGGAAAGAGTTTCAAGAGATTTTCGGATCAGAAACAACTGCCGATAACATCGTTGTTCTGCTGCTGCTTTCTAAGAACCAGCCAACTCGGCTGGCAGGACAATTCACACCATCAACACAGGAGTGATGAAAAGGAAAGTTGATCTAGAAGTTAGCCTAACATAACGAAACAGCACACAGTCACTCCCTCTTCATGAAGAAATGTTTAACATTGTCATTCATGAAGTGATGCTTAAAAAAAGTCCTCTGGGCACCAGGATTCGAACTTGTGATCTTCAGATAAACAAGGCAACTGGGCAAGCAGCGTGTGTTTTTCACATGCTTTAACCTGCCCCATAACTTTCTATGACATGTTCAGGGGCGAGAATCGATGAAAGGTTTAGGTTCAGTTCAAGGAGCATATCCAGCGAGTTTTGTATAAGACAACTAGAGTGACCATGGTCCTGTGCCGACTGTTGCCAAATATAGGACCCAGAAAGCCACAGGTCATTGTTTATTATAGATAGGTCATAATGCTTAACATTGGTCCTGTGGAGGGTAGAAAACAGATGTAGGGAAGAGTTGTGATGAGTACAAATCCCACACGCAAATAGGTACAGACCTGTGTTTCTCGGAAGATTTCCATCTAACCTACTAAAAAAAAAACAATAAAACACATAGATAAGTGGACACACACATGCAAACAATTTATAATGTACATATATTATTTTGAAAATGGAAAATACTTACTCAATTTCCCCTAGTCTTCCTAATATATTTTTAATGATGTATATTATAATCTTTGATCTACAATATGCATATTTGATATTTTCTGCTTCCAACTGAAAAATCAGTTATGTAAATATCAACCACGATCAAAATATAAGCATAGCAAATTTATTGATAGAATTAAAACAATATAATTTTTGAAAATTTCATTATGATCAGGACAAATACATGGGCAGAATTAATTTAGCAATGAACAACAAATTTCAAAGGCTCTATTACTCCATGACAATAAGCAATATGCTCCAAAATGTTTAAGATTTACAATTCCAGTAATAAATTAATTTACCATTCTAGTAAAAATTTATTTTCTCAGAAAATGGACAAAATGTATTTTGATCTAATGTTCCTTAGTTAATTAATTTTATCTTCTACATTTAAAATTTGCTGCAGGAATTCATAAACATTATTCCATCTTGATTCAACTGGCCGTTTAAGGCTTTGACCAAATATTTCTTGCATTTTTTACTGCACTTTAATGGATGATCTTAAAATAGATAGCATTTTCAAAAACTACGGCTCCAAAAACATATAAATAGATTCTTATATTGATGAAATATGAAAAACTCAAATAAGATGAAACACAGTGGCGTAATCTAAAAATAGACAAATTTTCGAAAAATATGGCCCCAAAAACATACTAATAGACCTTAATATGTAAGATATCCGAAAAACGTAAATAAGTTGAAACGCAGTGGTATTGTCTAAAAATAGACATAATTTTCGAAAAATATGGTTCCAAAAACATATAAATAGACCCTTACATGGAAGAAATGTGAAAAACTCAAATAAGTCAAAACGCAGTGGCATAATCTTAAAATGGACATTATTTATGAAAACTATGGCTCCAAAAGCACAAAGATAGACGCTTATATGGAAGAAATCAAAAAAACTCATTGACATCAATTGGACTCAAGTAAAAAACAATAAGTCAAATGGACATCATTTTCGAAAACTACAGCTTCAAAAACATATAAACCCTTATAGAACCTTATGTTGAAGAAATCCAAAAAAGTCAAACAAATCGATAAATATAATAATAATAAAAATAAGTCAAACGCAGTGGCGTAATCTTAAAATGGACATTATTATCAAAAACTATGACTACCTCGCCATATCTGGTATATGAGTGGGAGTGTTCAAAAGGTACAACTAAACCTATTCTAACAACAATGAGATCAAGATGTTGAGCGCCATGAAATAAATTTCAACCTGCCCATGCCGGATTCAAACTGGCATTGCTAAACTCAAGAATGTTAAAGTTTACACTTTAACACCCCTGGCCATCACAACTTCAGGATATTGTGGCCTGAAAGGATTAATGAATGCCAACCTTAACTTAGTTGTTAGTCATAATGAACTTTTACATATTTTATGAAGCTTGGAATTACAATTCTCATCCGAAGTTAGAAATTGTTTACCAATTAATTTTAGTAAAAATAAACTAGAAGCAGAAAGCAATATTTTAAGTCAAACAGCAATCAGATATAAAAGATATTTCTGATTATGTTTTTGACTTTTAAATGCTGAAAATAACCTTCGTTTGGAAAAGTAGAACGGTAAAAAAGAGTCGCTGAAATAAGAATTCCAAAATGGAAAAATAATGATCAAATTGTCAATATAACACTTATTAATTAATTTGTAAATAATATACCTGCATAGTTTCATTATTTTCCAATGCATAGAATTTTTCTTCTAAAAAAGAAGACAATTTTTCAGCTCCTTCAAGCATACCAAACACATCTTGAGGCTCAGGAGCAATACAACTCCAATTATGAAAAATGTTTATTTCCATTGTAGCTATGTATGAAGAAATATTTGCAATGAGACTTCTTATCTAAATGATAAATAAATTATAAAATAAACAAATAAAGGAGATTTATGTTATTATTAATGTTAATCAGAAAATAAAAATTAGATAAGTTTGGTGTAAACCCGATCATGATTACAATTCCCAACTTGTACCAATCCAAAAAGTGCTAGAATTAAAATTTGTATTCCGCATTTCTAGGCAGTCTGATGTTTCTTATCATTTGAGTTAAAGTGGTTCTTCCCCTAAATAATCCAATAAAATAAGAACTCAACCTCAGAATCAAAGATATAAAGCAATCATTAATTGGACAACTCGTAACTCATGATATACATAAATAACACAATTTTTAAGCGTTTTTGTTGACATAAAAAAACAATTAATGATTGCTATTAAAAAATCATCTGTTGAAAAAAGTGTGCTCCTACTGTCAAGTCCTTAGGCTTTACAACTTTTTGTTATTGACAAAAAGTATAACAAATAGTATGACTGAATAAAATTGTTTTAAAAATATAATAACCTTAACACGAAATGGCTCATCAAAGCATGCTTCATCTTCACGGCATGGTAACTCTTCCTCAATAGAAGAATTCTCTGTATTTAAATCACATTTATTATTAATTGAACAGTTCTTTCTAGCCTTTAGTGTCCTTGATCTCTGAAATAATATACCTTTATTAGAACTATAAAAAATTAAACTGATGGCTAAACAAAATAATACATCGATAGCCACATTCCAAAAGCCTGAAAGAACAAAAACTAATTTATTCATAAGATGTATTAAATCTTATATTTTTATTTTATGAACTAGATTTTCCACTCCGTTTTAGTTACATGAACAAGATTTCCCATTTAATTCTTATCCTGTGAACTAAATTCTCCATTCAACTTTCATTCTATTAACTAGATTTTCCACTCCATTGTAGTTACATGAACTAGATTTTCCATTTAATTCTTGTCCTGTGAACTAGATTCTCCATTTAACTTTTATTCTATGAACTAGAAGTTCTATTAGAATCTTTTCTATCCATAAGACAAGCATGTAATGTTTTAAATAACATTTTTGTTTGTATTTCTGAACAAGAAGGAAGCCAAAATTGAAAATAAAAGCTCAAACCGCTCTTTATAATAAAATTGTACCTACAGGATTTAGCAACATGACTATTGTCAAGTCCTTAGGCTTTAATTTTTTTTTTTAAACAAAAAGTAATAGTATGACTGAATAAAATTGTTTTAAAAATATAACCTTAACACGAAATGGCTCATCAAAGTATGCTTCATCTTCACGGCATGGTAACTCTTCCTCAATAGAAGAATTCTCTGTATTTAAATCACATTTATTATTACTTAAGTAGTCTTTTTTAGCCTTTTTTGTCCTTGATCTCTGAAATAATTTACCTTTATTAGAACTATAAAAATTAAACCGATTACCAAACAAAATAATATATCGACAGCCATATTCCAAAAGCCTGTAAGAACAAAAACTAAATTATTCAAAAGTAAATTAAATCTAATATTTTTATTCTATGAACTAATTTTCCATTCCATTTTTAATATATGAACAAGATTTTCCATTCAATTCTTATCCTGTGAACTAGATTCAACATTCAATTTTTATTCTATGAACTAGATTTTCAATTAGATTTGTTTCCATCCTAAAGGCAAAGATGTAATGTTTTAAATAACATTTTTGTTTGTATTTTTGAACAAGAACGAAGCCAAGATTTAAGATAAAAACATAAACCCACTTTTTATAATAAAATTGTACTTACAGGATTTAGCAACGTGACTGCTGTCAAGTTCTAAGATTTTATTTTATCTTTTTTAAACTAAAAGTAATAGATTGGCTGAATAAAATTGTTTTAAAATTATAATAACCTTAACACGAAATGACTCATCTAAGTATGCTTCCTCTTCATGGCGTGGTACTTCTTCCTCGATAGAAGAATTCTCTTTATTCAAATCACGTTTATTATTTCTTAAGCATTTCTTATCTAGATATTTAACAATTCTGGTAGGCTTCAGATGTGAAGCCTTTGTTTTCTTTGGTCTCTGAAATAACACACCTTTATTATAATTGTAAAAAATGAAACTTGACAAATAAAATAATAAATTGACAGCCAACATTTGAAAAATCAAAAGCCAAAACAAAAACAAAGTGATGAGGATGGGATAAGGACATGAAGGATAGTTATAATTGTTTACATTGGATGCATCTCATGTGGTTCTTTTTCAGATTGTTTAGTACCATCAAGAAACACTTCATCATGTCCTTTCTTTGGTGCAATCACTCAACACCTGAGAGCTGGGCCAAAAATCTGGAAAATTTTTTGCTCTGGTTGAAGACAAATGGGGAAATTACAGACGTTCAAAACCAAAGCTTGCCAATTAATAAGTTGGATGATCGGTATGTTTCGAGATCTCAAAGCATGGATCGACCTAAAAGCCTGCCTGAGGTAAGCGGTTTACAGTGGCTTAGTGAAAATATTAAATGAAAATATATCTCCTAAATTAAATCCAATAGTAAGTTATTTTATAATTCACGGCTCCATTTTAAAAATTGGCACAATGAAGTAAATAGAAAGCCAAATGACCTACCAGAAACCTTGCTTGCTGACACTTCTACACTCTCATCATCAACCAGTACAAAGAAAAATAAGACATGCCTCATAAATACTTATTCTGATTGATCATTCTTGAAGGATCAACATGCAACCCAATATACTCCTTATTTAGTAGTAGCCCTTACTTGAAATAACAATATCGCAAATCCTGTTCATAAATTAGTCAAAGAAGGAGCTAATTTTCATTAAGATGGTCATCATTATCCTTTAAACATATTTTCATATACCAAGAAACTTGAAAATTTAGGAAACTATTCATATCCAGGTCAAAGATTAGTCATTTAAATATTCACTTCAAAAAGAGTATATACAGCTACAGTCTTAGTTTATGTTTTATCATGGTCTCTTTGCTTAAAGCCAAGATAAAACTTGCTCCAATTAAAATCATATCAATTTCTGGACTTGAGTAATATGGAGCTAATCGTTTTGTGAAGCTGTTTGACTCCATGAAAGAATTTTTGCAGCACTTAAATGTAAAAGGAGCTCACACATTTACTGATTCAACTATTGTCCTGGGATGGCTAAACACAAAAATTTTAGAGAAAACCAGAAAGACTTGACAATCCAGCTAATGCTGTATCAACAGGCAATACACCATTAATTTTTTTAAAGAGCTCATCATGGTGGGAAGACCCTTATTGGTTGCTTGAACTGACAAGCGAATGGCCGAAATCAGTTTATATTTCTTTATAAGTAAAAAGAATAACTCCCTGAAATGAAACCCGAAAGGAACACTCTTTGGATATCTTAAGTTCCAAATATTCAGTCATCTTGGTATAATTGGATCGAAATTTGCTCCTTTTCCTAACTAATGAGAGAATTAGCTCATTTCCAGAAATTCATTCATAATGCATAAAACTTAGAATGTAGAATTGCCAGACACCTAACCGTTTTCTAGATTTGAATTGCCGAAATTACTATCATTCGTTGAACTCAACATTATTTTGCAAAAAATATAGCCTCTATAACTAAATTAGGGCTCATCCATAACAGCACATCGACTTTTGCACCAACCCACATACCGCTCCTCGCGTAAAAAGTAAATCGTTTGGAGTGGCCAGAACAGCACGTAATATTTTATTTTAACCATAACCTTTTTTTTATGAGGTGGGGGCTTTGGAAAATGTTCTACTGCTTTTCCTTTGTTGAGCCACAGGCCAGGACGTCAACTGTTATGGTAAAGTATCCAATTTTCCTGTTTCATAACAATGGTTTTTTTACCGGTATAGGGTTGTTAGTCCTATGACCACCCCCAGACTGGAGGACCAGGATTTTCTGTAGGGGTTGACTCCCTTAGCCTTTGAACATCGTTCTATCACGCAAGACAGCGGTGGAGAGGTATGGATGGGTAAAGGAGGAAAGATAGGGTAGGTAATTGATCAATGATAGAAAGGAGTAGGTAATAATGTCAACGGACAGTTGCCCCTTTAGTCGTCTTCTACAACAAGCGGTTAAACAGTATGGGTTTATTCTATCATCTCCGAACCCACAGGGGGAATTATACGGTCCTAAGAAAATAAATGACCAGTGGCGAATACGGAAAAATGACGAGCTCTATGAGCTGTTTAAAATATTAAAATATTAGTATTATTATTTCTTTGATATAAAATACAATTAATAGCCCAAGTATAGTCCATTGTTATCTACCAGCATTAGCCATCTGCTAGCCAATCGCTCAATCCCAAGCTGATATCCCTCTTTAGGATGGCTGTCAAACAACTCTTGGACGGCAATTTCAACTTCCACAAAATTATCAAATTTTTTCGCTTGAAGAAAATGGGCCATGGATCTAAATAAGTGGTAATCCGATGGTGCGAGGACTGGACTATATGGTGGATGAGGCAGGAGTTTGAACCCATGAAGATCTTTAAACTTTACATTGGTTTGAGGGCAAGTGTGTGAACGACAATTATCTTACTGGAATAAAATTCCTTTTTGGTTGATCAAAGCAGGGTAACATTCTGACAACTTTGCATACAATCTTTCCAGTTGTTTGCAGTAGAATTCAGAATTCATAGAACATCCATCGAGAACAAATTATTGATGAATAACACCTTCAAAATTCTAAAAAAAGAAGCATGGATTTAATATGGAGAGTAGATGGCGACTAATAGTATCTTTCGACACACCACACTTCCTGGCAAGTTCGCGAGTACTTGTGGATGGATTTGACTCAACAGCTTCCTGCAGAACCACATCAATATCTATTCTTCTTTCCAAATGTTTATTTATCTCCATTACTAAATTTTTCCAAACCAATGCCGTGCAGTGCGCTGGTCAAGGACACTATTCAAATTTAATAAACTCCACGAGTTGCTTCAGCCACTATGAATTTTTTTTTTTCCAGCAATGCCTTAAATTACAAGAATTTTGTGGAACACTGTCATGTTTCTTCTTTGAAACAAATAACTAAACTGAGGCTTTTTTTTGAAGAAGTTGAATGGGATTAAGCAAGCTAAAAGAATGTTCTAAAGAGATTATTAAGTATTGGTAAGTATTAAATAGGATTGAAATATTTACATTTCATAGAAATCTTGAATTTGATAAAACGGTCATTTTTTTTATACGCTATATTATATCAATACCATACCTACTTAATCAATTCTCATCTACCGCTAAGCAGTGAAAGACTTCCGCTTATAGAGCCTTATCCATAAATCTCGATACTGTGCCAATTATTTTCTTCTTGTCCAATTCATACCTCTTCGGTCAAAGGCTTCCTTTATTCCACTTTCCCACGTATTCCTAGGTCACCTTCTAGGTCTTCTGCCTCTCACCTATGTCTCATAAGTGATCCTTGCTATTCTGTCTTCTGCCATTCGAAAGACATGCATGAACCACCATAACTGGTATTCTTCTATTTTTCCCTTGTATCTTGCAGACCCAGGTTGGATCGGATAGTGACATTCCTCACTCGATCTCTCTTTGTTTTATCTTCGATCCTATGGAGGTAACCTATCTCCATTGTTTGTAGTAGTAGGGGTGCCCAGAAGGGATTTCATGGCGCAAGATGCAGCATCAACATTTTTGAGGGGGCATATTTTGACAGGTTTTTGAAATTTTGAGGGGAGCAAACAGAGTAATGAATTTTCGGACTAATCAACAAGGGTAACACATGGAACTGAGCGCAGCACGTGTATTTATATATTATATAATTTTTACTAATTTTACCTTAGCTTACTCTATTTTTAAGAAAGATGAGCAATAAAATATCTTGGGAGGATTAAAATTCCATCAATGCCATCGACCTTGGGAAGAATGGGCACCCCTGTGGAGTTGTTTCTATCAATACTGTTTATTCTTGTTATCAATATTATTAATATTTAATGTGTTTATTAAGAAATGTATAAAATAAGAGAAGGAATGGATACAAATACATTTTAAATGTGTAGTTTCAATTGGAATTCTTAAAAATCCTAATTACTAAACAGCAGCAGTACAAACAAGCTTTTTCTTACCATATTACATTACAAAAAATAATTTATATTCCTACTTTTAAGGGTAAAAAAATACAAGCATGAGTAATCATTTTGTGTGCATATAAATTATTTTAGGCAATAGTATCATTAAGATAGTTTTCAATCCAACAAGCCTACTTCAGTTTGGAGAGACTGCTGGAATAATGCTCTGAATAATTCAGATTTTTTTACAGCTACCACAAAACTAAACATTAGCCTATCCTCGAAAAGGTTCATAGCAAAATTCATGAATATTTATCGACACTACGGCAATCAACCTAATAGTGATTTGATTTTGGTTATTTTAGAGATTAAATAAAATAATTTAATTACGACATGTTGCAATAATAATTTAAATTCAGAATAAAAAATAAAATAAAATTAGTAGGAAAAGCTTATGTACATCCTATCCTAAAATTCACTAAAGTTCTTGCTTATCTGTTAAAGTACTTTCAATATAAAATTCTTATCTTTTGTATGTGCTCATTTTATTTTTATTCAGTCTATAAAGTTTCTTTGTCGACTAATTAAAATTTAAAATGCTGATGAATGAATGCTTTATTTGCATGAAAACTGTATTATACGCTGAATAACCTGTCAATGCTAGGAGAGATACGGAAAGGCAGTGCGAGGGTCGGTGTGTCTTTGTGGACGAGACCCAAGGCTACAGCAAAGAGTTTAAATGATTTTAACATTATCTAGGAGTAGTGGGATAGCTCAGTGTAGGATGCTGATCTTCCAATGCTTAAGGTTCCAGGTTCGAATCCCAGGTCATGGCAAAAAAATTATTAATTCAGTTTCATCTGAAATGGGGTGACCCTGTGATCAGGAGAATCTCCTTGGCCACACCCAGCCTCTATAAAGTGGGTATCCTTAGTTAAATAATTAATTAAGGGAGAAACCTGGTGGTCAAGCATAATCTCAGTCAAATCACCTCCTTGCACAACCGTTATCCAAGAAACAGTACAGGTTTAACATTTTCCAGAGACAGAAGAGATATTGAGGATTGGCAGCAGAGTTCGCCATGACAGTAAACGTTCAGTATTGCTACCTACAAAATGTGATTTAGTGAACCTTATAGTTGATCACTAACCAACGGGGCAAGGTGGCCGAACGGGCTAACGTGTGCATCCCGCGTTGCCTGGCAACCTGATAACCAAGAAGTTGGTGACAGTAAAATTACGAGTTCGCATCCCGGTGCCTGGGGGTCTTCTAAATTACCCGCCCTCACCTCCTGGCCCGGGAAAACCCCCTTATAGCCTAAAAAGGCAAGGTAGGGGAGAGCAAAAAAAAAAAAAAAGCTTCATAGCGGTTCGTAGAAACCCCTGTTGTGTTGCTTTTGACAGGAAATTTACCAACTGTTCCATTTATCAGTGAAAGAGCCTTTTTAAATGTTGGGATGGATTAAGCAGACCTATTTTACTTAAAACTTTCCAAGAAGACATTAGCCTAAAGGATATCTCTGTTTATTTATACGCTTAGTTACTTATCTTACATCTTGAGGTTGTTTCACGCCTGAGCACTGAGTCATTTTTCACCACACTTGACTGATACATTGCCAGAAGAGGCAAACCATAAGGTTTTATTCTGATTGAAGGAACTAAGTTTGTTGTTGCAGCACAAGAAATAATGAAATTATCTCTACACTGCCAGAACAATGTGGCCTGACCCATTAACAAAAGAATTTTAAAAAATTAAACTTAGAATTTTTTTATTTTATTATTCATGATATTTACAAATGTATTTAAAAAAAAAAAATCTAGTAAAAGTGCACTTAGGAATATAACATGAAAACGCGTGTTTGTTGAGCGTTTATCCCCTACTAAACTACCCACTGGTAGCACTCAAATAATAAATTTGCACAAGATCACGAGGACACCTTCTTTTTAGACGCCTCGGAGGGTTATCAGGGATCGAGGAGGAAGCTAGGTATGAAACAAGAGGGTTTGGATGGTTCTGAAGTTTGTTATGGAAGCATAGATAACTGGATTGGGACAAATCGGAAACATATGGAACATTAACGTCATTATGGATGATTTCATTTGTGACAAATTAAGGAGTGTTGAGGATTTTTGATGGTAAGGATTGGATATGAGAGGGATTTGATGGTTTAATGAAGCGCCAAAGCTCAATTCCGTATGTTAAAATAGGCCATGTTATAGACATATATATGAGTCTTTTATAATTTATTGAAAGCTTAAAGCATTTGTCTAGTAAGTGCTGGAGTAGTAGGGAATGTGGAGCGGTTTCTGTCATCCAGTCTTGTACGAGGATTCCAAGTGAGTCATTTGTCCCGGTGAATCGGAGTAAAGCATTATATATATATATATATCCAAACTGTAAGTTTGTCTATGGCACTATCAATATCTTGTTTTGTCTTAAGCGGAATTTTCAAGTCTAATATATTTTCCAAATCATCACTAAGTCTGTCCTAAATAACTCGTCCTGTAATCATTGTAGAATGTGAGGGTTTAGGAGCAAATTTTGAATGTAGTAAAAGCAGAACCGGACTATGACCTGTAGAAAGGTCACCAGGGGATCTGATTATGGTTTGGGAAGAAGAAACCTGGGAGGTGATAAATATATCCAGGATATCGGTACGTTTTTTGAGGGATGTTGGCCGATAAGTAGGATTCATGAGCGAGAGGATAGAATAGCTGTTGGAGGATGAAACATGTGAAAGGATGTTACCACAGGAGTCCGATGTTCGACAGCCCTATCATTGGTGTTTAGCATTATAGTCTCCTCCAGCAATAAAGCCTAATCAGAGGGATTGGAATAAGCAGTCAAGAAGGGTATAAGAGAGGGAATTACCAGGAGGGCAGAATACAGCTGAGAGCGTTAGATGGAAAGGCTAGTTGAAAGGATTACAGAAGTTGATTGAATGGTATAAGACGGAGTGGAAGGAATAAGGGAATGAGAAAAAAAATATATAAATTAAAGGACAAATAGACGATAGAAATAATTTTTACATTAACTAAAATAATAAAACTGCTTTGAAAGTAAATAACATAAAGAAAACAGAATAGGCTAAATGAAAATGACAATGGTAATCAGTAAGTGGATATGTAGCACTGACATGAACTCTGAGGAACATGAAATGTAAGGAAAATGTGGTTGAAGAGGAGAACTTTAAATGAGGAAACTATTGAAGCAAGGTGGTAGGATTTGTCAAATGCTGCAGTTCGGTGAGGAGGAGGGTAGAAGTCGGAAGAAATAATTAGTTTGTATGCTCTTTTTTAAAAAAAAAATTCAATTATTACATACGACCTTTAGCATTAGCAGTAGCGACATATTATGAAGCTATGGAAAAGAAATAGTAATATATAAAAACCTTTAATTATTATATCACTGAATGCTAATTCACATGTATTTTTCTTGTTGATGATCTCCATTATTCATGGGAAATGTGTGGTTAGGACAACAGCTGACGTCATATCACATTCAGGAAAATTCAACTGTTTTCAGCATTTTATGAAGAAGTGTTATCAAAGTGATTGTGAAACACGCATAATTCATGCGGAACTCATGTGAACTAGTACCGATATACCATATTCATGGTAAAATTAGACAAGTTCCATTATGGATAATTTAGTAACTTTCAGTAACTGTAGTGGGGAAAATGAATAAATAAGGAAATAAAGGGAGGGAAATCCTATGAGCTATGATCAGATAATTTACAATATGATAAGATAATAGTTGAAAATTAAATAAAATTGTTGAAAAAGTCTTAATATTGTTCTAAAAGCTACAAAACACAAATAAAAGCAACACAACACTATTCAAGAAGGATTTTAGAAAGTATTGCTAAGAATAATAAAATTCACATTTGAATTATTTAAAAAAATTAATAATAATAAAACTCTAAATTAAACTTAAATAACAATCCATACTGATTAATATGCTTACAAACTCATATTAAGTTAGAGGGTAGTAGAGAAAAAAGCTAGTAAATGCAATGGTCAACACATTAATAACAGCCTGAGATATTCATTTAATATGTTTCAAAATAGCGAGATAAATATAAACAAGAAACTGACCTAATTAAAACTAAAATAATAAATTTAGAACATAATAATCTATGAATTTTAATCTGGAATAGTAAACTGTAGATCACTTCAAGTCAAATGCGTATGTATGCCAAATGCAAAAAAAAAAAAAAAAATGTGAAACAATAAATCTTTTATGTTTTAAAATTATTAGCCATTCACTGCATATAATTATGCATTAATATTGATATTTTAAGGGTATTAATATTAAAATAATCTCTCCAATTACCTTGGTATGACATATTTGAAGTCTATTCACAGTGATTAATTTTCTTCCACTTTTCCTGGTATCTGTCGACCCGTTTTTCTACAAATTAATTGATTTGTACTAAAGTAAGTTACAAATAAATATAATGACAAAAAAGAGAATCATATTAAATAAAACCAGTTATACATTAAAATATAAGACAAATCCAACTTCAATGCTTCTACTAAATTACCTTGCGTATTTTTCTAGTCATATTTGTTTAATAGAAAGCACAAGAGGGTGAAACAAGAGGCACAACAAAGTGAAACAAGACCAAGCTTTGTAGAAACTGACGGAAACGAATGAAACTTCTAACGAAAGTGTGTTACTCCTGAATAATTTAATAATCTTTCAAAACTGATAGTCATTCATAATTATTCGTTAATTGATCAAAAAAAATATTATAAATTTAAAAATCTATTAAAATATTTCAACATCAAGTTTATTTTTAAGTACAGTTCTTTAATTTAAACAAAACTATATATCAGTATTAAGTAACAATTTGATACATTTAAATACAATCAAAATTTATAAGTTATAACCGCCTACATTTGTAAATAATACTTAAAAACGACAGCGCTTTATGTATTGTGATCCAGGGTTACCAATCTCCACAAGGTCGATGGCGCACCTCCTCCCACTCCCCACATACACACCAAGATATTTTATTGCTCTTATATCCTCTTCTTAAAAACAATGCAAGCGAATGTGAAATTGGAAAAAAATATATTTTATATACCTAGACTTGCTCTATTTGTTCAATTTCTTTTCCTTCTTTCCTGGTTTAAAAATTTCTCCAGATTGAAGTCCACTGAAATATAAATTCTTACAAATATTAATAACCCAAATGAAATGTGCCCCCTCAAAAATTCAAAACGCCATAAAAATTTGCCCTCCACATAAACATTTTGGTGGCGCCATTTGCACCATGAAACCCCGCTTCCCGCTTTAGGCGGGACAGTCCCAATTTTAAAAAATCGTTACACGGTCGATATAATTCAGTCAATATCTTTTTTTTTTATTTTAATGAAATTTACAACTGTATTACATGAAAAATATAACAAGTAAATGTGACATTGGTAACATGGCATGTACAACATGAAGAGAAACTACCCATTGGTAGAACTCAAATTAAAGTTCTATATTAGAAGGTCCCGAGGCCATCTTCTTTCAGTCAATATCAAATTTCGTAAATGTATTGACAGTTTAAGGAATATATTACACATATTGTACTAAGGCCAAACAAACTGGTTGATATCAAATTTCTTCGAGTTTTATTGATGCTCTTTCATTATTAGTGTAGGAGTGTCAATACTACTTACCTAGTTCTGCTGTTATATAAGTAATACTGTTACATAACTTGAACTTTGTTGACATCCATGGGTATTATTTAGATAATCCTTAAGTTCATCAGGTTAGTTTCTTTTCATGTCAGGATAATAATCCCAATTAGTTTGTATTTTTCTTTCACTCAGTTAAGATGGAGTGGAGTGATAAAGAATAGCTGTGACCGCCTTACACAAAGTTGGAAAATGTAGATCAGAGATTTTCAATACTTTGAAATCTTTGGGTATCAGCCGTATGTTCGTGTACCGAACTATAAATAGATATGAGACCCTATCTGTATGTGACAGACCTCGACCGGATCGTCCTCGCACTGCAATGCAGTGAGAGCAATGGCTGCTCGAATCAGAAGAAATCCCATTCGAAAACAAAAAATCATGTCTCAGGAAATGGGAATCTCAGTCAGATCAATGTCTCGCACAGTAAAAAGTGAACTTAGGACGGGTGCATTTCGAAGACTGACAGGCTACTTCTGATAAAGGCTAACTCTTGGACTGCACCTGAATTGGAAATCGTAATATGGTGAAGATTGCATCAGAGGACGATACCCTTTATATGGATCAATGTTATTGATGGAGGATGGTGGTCCTTGACCTTTAAGGATTATATAGATTCTCCTTGCTACATGAAGTGTCTGGAAAACGACCACTCTAAGGCGTCCTGCACAGCAGACTCTCTGGTATGCAAATAGTGTGCCTGCCCAGGTCACATAGCTAAGGAGTGCCCAAGAAAGAAAGAAAGGGCAGAACCGACTTGTGCGAATAGTGTACGAGAAGGGAAACAGAAACACGTAGCCAAGCACCAAGCGGGCTGTCAAACGTCCAGTTCATCTAAAGAAGACCCAAGAACTAGCGAAGAGAACCAAGAATGAATAACAAAATTACTATCCTACAGCTTAATATGGGCCGACGGCGTCTTGTGTCTGATGAGCTACGAGCTCTACCCCATCGCTATGACATTTTCCCGGTTTAAGAACCGGCTTGCTATGGGAACTTGGTCACAGGGTTCGGCCTCACGTCAAGGGTTATAGCCTTGAGCAGCGGAAAGGCGAGGCCCAGGGCTGCTATATTTATTAATAACCCCAACCTTGACGGGATGGAACTGAGGTAGTATACCATTGCGGACCGTGCGGTATGTTACATAAGGTGGGGCAGGATTGCTTTTACACTGATATCTGCGTACATGCACGGCAGAAGAGATGGTCAATAGGACATATCCGACATGAAAACGATTTTACAATGTACAAGAACTGTGATCAGATGCCAACTCCTGCAACACGGTCTGAGAGTCCAATAGAACAGACAAAAGAGGCGTCCAGCTGGGCGAATTTATTGCTAGAAACCAATTGGTGGTGTAAAATGATCCGTCTGCTACTCCTACCTTCTCTGGAGGTAGAGAGAAGAGCTGGATAGACATCACTCTGGCCTCACCGACGCTATCTTCGATCTTCGATTGGACACTCTTATCAGAGACGAGTTCGGACCACAATGCGATTGCATTTGGCTTGGTAGGTGATTCGGGATGTTCCTATGGTAACGAGAAGGGCTATATGAATTACCCAGAGGGGACCAGAATAAGTGAATGAAATGTCTTTCGGTGCATGATGGAGGGTGAATTGGTCGACAAAGACTGAGAAGTTGACGATCCAGAAAACACCGGTGACCTCGACTACAGGGTGTCAAGGATGAACTCCCTACAGCACCGGAAGGCGAGGGCTCGATCTGTCCCATGGTGGACGCCGGCCTTAACAGCTATGAAGAGAGACCTCTACAAGGCTGGGCATTCGTACCAGAGCACAGCGTACCCAAGCAGTGGGGATAATAGACAAAAATCATAAACCACTAGTTATTTTTAAATAAACATTTTTATTAATTGATTTCAACTCAAAACAAGGTAATAGTATAATAATGTATACTATACAACTATAATAATATTAATTGTAATATTAATAGAAATAATATAAGATCTAATAGTATCAGGAATAACAATATTATAAAATATAATATAAAACGTAATATAACTGTAATATATAATGTAGTAATAGTAAACTAGTAAATTATACTTATAGTAGTATTGCCATAGAATAATAATATTTTATCATTTTCTACGAAATTATTAAATCATTTCTTAATTCAGAGTCTGAATCGTTTGCGGATTCGTCAGAATTTATGTAAACTTATATCGAAACCAGTCTATTTGCTTATTGTAATAATCTCTATTATATAAGAATATATAATCTCTATCATGTATTCATTAATGTCTGGACTAATTTTGCTTTGCCTTTTTACATTTTTTCTCCATAAAGCAAGCTCTAGTTCAGATGTCAGAAGAAGTATTGTCATAATATCTTTCTCACACAACGCTGCAAACTCTTTCTTAGGTCTGCCTCCAAGTAAGCCGGAAGGACCATCAGGACATGAATTGTCTTTTCTTAATAATATTTTCTTCTAAATTGATATCTTGTTCCAACCAGTCTTTATATAAGGTTGGCATGTTTTTTTCTGTGCGGTGAAGAGCACCGTGCAGATCAAATTGACTCAGTATTTGCTCAAAGATTGATCCCGTTTTCTTGGATTCATCCACATTTTTCAAAATTTGTAAGAAAACAATTTTTATTATGTGATGGATCTGAAAATAAAAATCGTTTGAGTCGGCAAATTTCGGTCAATTAAATTGCCCTCAGTACATTATACTTGAGGTAAACTTTATGCTCTAAAAAACTTGGTAAGACGTTTTGGGAAGTTTTTTTGCTAGGGTCCATCAAAATTATGAACTTAAATGTCAAAAATCAATGAAGAATAATTTGGATAAATAATAAGAGAGTACTTACCCATAATAAATTATATCAGATAAAAAAGGAATAGTTGTGACGTTATTTCCTTCGGATCAATTAATAAAAACACTATTCTATCTTCAACGAGAGAGGTTAAAACTGATTGTTGGTATGAAACAGATTTTGAAGACTTTGCCTTGTTTGCAATACTGCTACCGGGTTTGTTGATCAAAATAAAAATAATATTTATTGGTTTTGTACAATTCTAATTCCTTGAATAGTTTCTCAACATAACTAGAGGATTTAAAGTTTAATATAAGTTAATACAAATTCAGGTTTTTGTCCATTGGATGTTAAACTGTGCAGAGGTGCAGGTGCGACGAGAGACGCAGTGCACTTCGTAACGAGTGTAAGTCTTTGGCCGAAGTATATCGAAATGAGGTTCGTTCACGAAAGCGGAAGTCTTGGGATGATTTTAACGTCGAAAAATTTTCAAAGAATCCTTGGGGTATTCCGTACAAGGTGGCTCTGGGCAAGTTAACTCCACTGCAAACTATAGCGGCGATGAGGCATGAAGATGTCTATGCTAACACCTTAGAAGAGACCGCTAATTTCTTCGTCAAAGCTATTTACCCCAAGGACGGTCCATCTCAAGACTCCCAAGATGAACAATTTGTGAGACATACCACGGTATAACCGCCAGGCGCGAACTTTTGCTCACCATAGGACGCAGATGATATTCGTATTGCTGTGGGTAGGCAAAACAATGTCCGCGCTCCAGAACTTGCTGCTATAGATGCAGCGATCCTAAATAACAGTAACCTCTAGAGCGACTTTTAGGAATCTTTAATGATTATTAAGATAGGGGATACTTCCCAAGGAAATCGAAGATCGCAGATTTTAGACTCCTCTACAAGGAAGGAGGCAGGGATAAACAACTCCCTAAGTCATATAGACCAATTTGCCTTCTCCATGTGATGAGTAAGATCCTGGTGAACCTCATGATGACCAGGTTACGGCCAGTTCTTGATCAAGAAAGTCATTCACCGCAATATTGCTCTACCAGAGGCAGAGGAACCGCTAATGCTCTACTTAGAGTCCGCAGAGATGTTGAAGAAAGGGCAGAGCGATACGTCATGTTGCTCCTTTTTAATATACCTTCCGCATTTCATAGTTTATGGTGGCCCTGCGTATTCCAGCAGCTGCAAAAATACGACGCTACCAACAAT